TTCAACCCCTTAAATTTTGTCAAAACTCATTATTAATTTACATTTGATTAAATTAATTATGAGTGTAACCCTTCAATTTTTGTAGCATAAAGAAAGACCTAAATTGTTTTAAGAATGGTTCTTGAATAATTTAGGCTTGTGCACCAATAATAATTGAATTTAATTAAATTGGACTAGTTTTAATTTAATATTTGCCCTAAATTGATTCTAAAATAAATTTAGAATTAATTTTATGTCACACATATAACGAGATTAAAATATCGAGAAAAAGCACGCAAATTGAGGCAAAACACCCAAGCGCCACCAAGGCTATCCGGGCTGCTCACGCAGCCCACATTTGGTTGCCTTAGGTGGGCGCAAGGGTGCTCCACCTCAAATTGCTGTTGTTGCTGTGTGGTTGGGCTCATGTGCGCTGCTATGTGCTAGGTGCGTGGTGGATGGCTGCTGGCCATGCTTGTGCGTGCTGCTGGGCAGCGAGGCAACAAGCCAGCCACTCGCCTGCCAGCGCTAGCAAGCAGCCAGCATGCGTAGCATGCGCAACAAGCAGCCAGCATGCGTAGCATGCGCAGCAAGCTATTGGTGCCAGCAAGCGTGGCATGCGTTGCTGGGCATGCATGCCAGCACCCAGCACAGGCAGCCGCATCTCCCAAGTGCTGCTAGGCAGCCATGGTGCGCATCCCACGTTTTTTGGGTGGGTCGATTTCTTGCTTGAATTGGGCTATCGGTTTTTGCAAAATTTTGCCGTTTTAATTTTATTTAATTATTTTAACGATGCTAGGCCTCGGTTTTTCCGGCTTTTGCAAAATTTTAATTTTGACAAAATTTGGGTTAATCGGCTTAATTGATTGGATTAATTAAGTTGGATGCGGAATTTAGTGGGAGCTTCGTTAATTGTGTCTTAAAACATAAAATGTTAAACAACTTTGACTAGTTTTAATTAGGCGCGTTAATTGGATTAACCACCTAAGTTAGTTACTAGTTCGCGCGTGTTGTGCATTGTTACTTGTTTTTTCCGTTGTAAAATGCATGGGCCATTCACATATAGTGAATGGATGAATGGAAGATATATTGTTTCACATGTTTCGTGAAAATGGCAACTAGTAGGGCCCGATTAGGATAGTAAATACGGATTGCGATCCGTTATTTATTTTTGTAAATCTAAATACGGTCTGCGTACCGTTGCGTATTTCTGTACCTTAAATATTTAGATTAATCCTAGTCGTAGTAGCTAGTAATTTTATTTTGGCGAAAATGTCTCAAGACGACGTTTCTATGAAGACGAGCCAAGATGCAGACTCTTGAAGATTTGAAGATTTCAAGGGGTCATGCTAGTTGCCAAATGCATCTTATTTCATATTTTATATATATAATTGTTCTTATATATGTGAATGATACGTTAGGTGCATGTTTAGGATTTCAAATGTTGTGATGATTAATTGAGTTCACTTAAATCAACCAACATAGAAACCCTAGGTCCCTAAAATATTGAGCTAAAATATGCCATTCCAAGAGCAACACTTACCGAATTTATGCGCGTATGTGATGGGCTACGCCAAAGCGAGGCATCACTACTTCCCTAGGAACGTAAGGTATACTAGGTATACAAGTTGTCTTGGTTAAGCTCAATGATATCGGTAAGGAGTCCTTAGATGTCGTGGCAATGGAGATAAAATGTTAAGGAAGCATTAGATGCGACGTTTTATCGAACCAAGAGTAGCTTAGAGCTATTAGCAATTGGATTGCTTAACCTAAAATATTAAGTGTTAAGACAAGCCAAAACATGCTTAATCACTTTTTGATTTTTGGGATCTTGGAATCATTTTATTCTTGCCTAAAAGGGACTAATGTTAATGCGTGGATAAAATGCTCAATAAGATTGAAAATTTGCATGAACGCTTTAGAGTTCAAACTTATTGGTTTATGAATGGTTTATTCATTTTAAATTCTTTCAATTGTAGAAACATGTCTGCAAGTAACTCAAACAACAACTCTATATGCTCAGAACTCCACGACAAGTTGGCTTTTAGCCTTAACTTGGTCAACTTCAAGGAATGGGAGGAGGAACTCAGGAAAACTCTTCGGAATTGGTCCTTGGAGTACACTCTTGATACTCCTATTCCAAGCTTCTTCTTTAAGGGAATCATGAGTGATGAGGCTCATGATAAATGGTCTTTTGATTGCAAGAAAGTCACACATCTAATGGCTAATTCCATCCCGGAAGATTGGAAGGAAAAGCTCTCCTTCTATTTTCCGGATATTTTCCTCAAATCATTGGAGGATGTTGTCAATATAAGAGTCACCAAGAGTGACAATGGCATCTATGATGGACTCGTGTTTGATTTGACTAGGTCACTCTCAAACATGAAGATAAAGCCACCGGATGTAGGTTTTCATGCTAAGGAAAGGCGCCAGCTTTGGTCAAGGGTCTAAAATACCAAATTGAGACCCGACATGCCCCTCCGACCTCATGTGCTTGGAATGACTAGGCTCTTTAAACACATGCAGCTTCTCGGAATCTCATTGGAGGATGAGATGGCGGGGCATATCTTGCTTGCTTCACTCCACTTGGGCTATGATGCACTTAGAGTGCATATAACTGCTGGAAAGGAGACACGCTCTTTAAAAGAGGTGGTGCAACTACTCAGCCGAGCCATTGCCTATGGAGTGACCGAGAGTCCCTTGAGAGAAAGGAAGAGGGAGTTCAAGAACAAGGCAAGGATGCAGTGCTTCTATTGTGGTGGGCAAGGCCACTACAAGAGGGAATGCAAGCTCTTCCGAAAGGAGGAGGAGGAGAGAAATTTGGCATCTGCCTCAGGTATCTTCAGTAACACTTGTGTTTAAAGCTATGCATAGGTATTGGATACCATTTATAACTCACTTTATGTTTGCTTTTCAGGAACCAAGTGAGCGGGCATCCGAAGTAAGAGGGTATTGGATACCAAGAGCATCAACAAGCGGAAGACAAAGATGGTCTTTTGGTCGTGCTTGTAGGCACATTTATTTTGTCTATGACTTGTAATTAAACAATGGATGGTTCTTATGCTTTTAAACATACTTTTGATCTATGGTATTGGACACCAAGTTATTTTGATCACAAGACTTAATCAATGGTTGGTTTGTTAAAATATCTTGTTTATATGTTTTATAAAATTGCATATGTTTAGACAAATTTATGATACCGCCAAAAGGGCTAAGACCATCGAGTCGAATCAAACCTACTTGTGGCATTGTCGTCTGGCCACATTAACGTCAAACACATCAAGAAACTTCTTCAAGAAGGTGTTCTTGACTCATTCGACTTGGAGTCGTTTGAAAATTGCGAAGGATGTCTATTAGGCAAGGTGATAAAGTAGCCATTCTCCAAGTTAGGAGACAAGTGACTTATTGGGTCTAATACATACGGATGTATGTGGACCAATGAGTACACCCGCAAGGCAAGGTTATCGATATTTCATTACCTTCACCGAAGACTATAGTAGATATGGTTATGTCTACCTTATGTCGAACAAATCTGAATCCTTTGAGAAATTCAAAGAATTTCAGAGTGATGTTGAAATTCAACTTGGCAAGAAAATAAAAGCACTTCGATTGGATCAAGGTGGCGACCATTTGAGCCATGAATTCGAGGATCACTTGAAAGATGATAAGCCGTGTTTTGTGCAAAATTGTTAGCCTCTTTTTAGTTGTTCTTATTAGTCTAGCTTAGTATTTTTGTTCATTTTGGTTTGATTGGTGTAGTTTCGATGATTCGATGCTTTTATGGGTAGTTTCATTGTTTTTGATGTATTTCAGGATTAACAAAGCTAATTTAGAGATTTTATGAAGTGAAGAGACTAAACTGAGGCCCACATACCTTCACGAAGCTCGTTGGTCGAAGAACGAGTCACTTAGGCATTTTTAGAGTCAAGCACGACCATGTTTAAGAGAGGCACGCCCATGCCCAGCTTAGGCACATTCGTGCTTGAGCCTCAGGGAAATTCTCTAGAAGTGAGACACGTCCGTGTCTCATAGAGGCACGTCTGTGTCTCTGCTGCTGCCTTCGAATCTGCATATGAGGCACGTCTGTGCCCAATATATATAGGCACGTCTGTGCCCAATATATATAGGCACGTCCGTGCCTGGAGTCCGGAAGATGAGAAGAACCTTACTCGAAGTGAGGTACGTCCGTGCCTCTTGTAGGTTAAAGATTAAAGATTCATCACGAGAGTAGTTGAATTCAATTACAGACGTGCCTCATAATTAGGAAGTTGTTGAATTGATAATTGGGAAGCGAAGTAAAGTGTTGAATTCAATTACAGACGTGCCTCATATTCAGATTCTCTAACCACAATTAAACACCTAATTGCATGATTCTCTCGAGTAGTTGAATTGATAATTGGGAAGCGAAGTAAAGTGTTTAATGTCCCTAATTTGCATGATTCCATGAGAATAGGCTTGATTGTGGTTAGAGAAGCCATTGATGCTCGAGAGAGGTCCTTGGTATTGATTAGGGTTTGCTTTTCCCCATGTTAATTAGACTTGTATGCTAGGGGTAGATAGATAATTACATCGATCGTAATAGTGGTGATACTTGATCTTGGATGTTTTAGTTCATTGATTTATCACATTCTTTAGATTTATTGAGTTCTTTATATATTAGTTCTTAGAATAATTCATCATTGATTTGATACTTGCTTAGTGATTATTTGAGTCTATTTAATTAGGTGAACCTTAGTCTCTTGGGATTTGATCCTTACTTGCCTGTCTATATAGTAGTGGTCTCGTTAGGTTACTTTTGTTAGGTACGCGACACGCCAATCAAATTTTGGCGCCGTTGCAAAGCTTTATTCGTTGCTTCGGCTATTGTTTCTTGTGTTTTTGATACTCTGCTTTTAGTTTCTTGTAGCATGCAAACACGAGGTTCAGGGTCAGACGATTTAGCACCTTTTGATTCTGAAATCGAAGCAACTATAAGGAGACGACGAGGCAGAAGAAGAAGGAGAAATTAGAACAATAGGAACATGGAAGACGACAGGAAATCTCTTTTGGAGTACGATATTCCTGATACGACAACCGGACTCCTCTCAAGCATTGTCAGACCGCCTATCACTTTTAAGCACTTTAAATTGAAACCACAGTTCATTCAATTCATCTCCAATGATTTATTTGCAGGCATACCACATGATTGCCCTGTAAGTCATATTGATAGCTTTATGGAGAAATGTGATACTATGAAAATGAATGGTGTTACAGATGATGCTTTCCGACTTCGCCTTTTCCCTTTCTCACTACGGGATAGGGCAAAAGAATGGTTGAGAGATGAAGGAACTGGTTCGTTTGATACATGGAGCAAGCTGGTGAAAGCTTTCCTGGTAAAGTTTTTGGGACAGGAGAAGACTGCAAGGCTGAGAAACGAACTATCTACCTTCCGTCAGTCAGATGATGAGTCCCTTTATTGGGCATGGAGGAGATTTAAGCGATTGCAGAGGCAATGCCCCCACCATGGTATTCCTGAATGGATGCTGATTCAAACCTTTTATAATGTTTTAACCCATGAGTTCCAAATCTACATTGATGCTGCATCGGGGGGTTCTCTCTTGACAAAGAACCCAACTGAGGCAAAGGAGCTGATTGAGAAGATGGCGGCCATTGATAATTATCATCCAGGAGGCCAACATAATGTGAAGAAGGGAGGTAAATTAGATGTTAAAGCTCTAACTCTTTTGACTAGTTCTGTGCAAGCATTGACAAGTAAGTTTGATAGACTCCAAGCTGGAACATCTGCTAGCTTACCTGAGACTTGTCAAATGTGTAATGTGCAAGGTCACATTGCACCCAATTTCCCACAAAATTCAAATGACATGTCGATTGAAGAAGCCAATGCATTCTACACTTCCAACCCCAAAAGGCCATATGACCCCCACTCTAACACATATAATGAAGGTTGGAAGAATCACCCAAATTTTTCCTACAAGAATACCCAAGCCCAACAAAATCCACCTCCACCACCACCTCAAAACAACAACTACAATGCACCACCTGGTTTCCAACCAAGGCCACCTCCAGTCCAACAACCTATTCAACCACCTCCTCAAAAGTCCAACCTTGAACTAATGTTGGAAAATTTTATCACCACAACCAACAATTCCATCCAACAACAAAATGGTTCCATAACACAGTTACAAGTCCAAAGTAAGCTCATGGAAAATCAGATAAGTCAACTTGCTCATCAAGTTGGCCAATCTTTAAAGACACAGGGCACTTTTCCGGGTCAGACAAAGCAACCACAAAAGGGGCATATGAATGCAGTAACTTTGAGGAGTGGGAAGCAATTGGAAGATCCTCCTATCAAGGAGCCATCAAGGGAGGTTGTTGAAGGAGTAGGCGGAAGTGAGAAGGTGATTGATAATTCTAAGATCGAGGAAGAGCCAAAGGAAGCAACTTCACCACCTCTTGCTCCATATGTGCCAAAGGTTCCTTTTCCACAGAGGTTAGCTCAAGCTAAGCTAGAGAAAAAGTACGGTAAATTTCTTGATATCTTGAAAAAGCTTCATATTAATATTCCATTTTTAGATGCTATATCCGAGATGCCTTCTTATGCTAAATTTTTAAAGGATATGCTTTCTAACAAGAAAAATCTAGAAGAGAATGCTATAGTTGCTTTGACTGCAGAGTGTAGTGCTATATTGTAGAATACTCTCCCTAAGAAATTAGGCGATCCAGGTAGCTATTCAATTCCAGTGAAGCTTAGAGATATCGAAATTAACAGGGCATTATGTGATCTTAGTGCAAGTGTGAGCCTTATGCCACTCTCTATCTGTAAGAAGCTGCAAATGGGTGAACTTAAACCCACATGCATATCTCTACAACTTGCAGACAGGTCAGTCAAATTTCCTTTGGGTGTACTTGAGGATGTGCCTCTTCGTGTAGGTAAATTCATTATTCCTTGTGATTTTGTTGTGATGGAAATGGAGGAAGATGCACATGTTCCTATTATTCTTGGTAGGCCTTTCTTAGCTACTGCAGGTGCAATTATTGATATGAAGAATGGTAAGATCACCTTTGAGGTTGGTGACGAGAAAATGGAATACTCACTTTTGAATGCTATGGGTACTTCCTCTATGGGACAGACTGTTTGTCAGGTACATGTGCTTGATGATTTGCCGAATGAGCAACTTCCTTTGAGAAAAACAGATGATGCACTTGAAACAGTGCTAGTAGGGAAGGATGATGATGGAGATTGGGAATCAAAGGAGTATATCAGGTTACTTGAAGAAACAAAAGCCAACCCAGTCACTACTCCAATCAGGGAAGTACTTAGTGCAGTGAGTGTTGGGGAGAGTAATACGCCTCTAAATTATGCATATCTTGGTCCTAATAATTCATACCCTGTTATTGTTAATGCTGAACTCAAGGACACAAAATTGGAGCAATTGCTCACTGTTTTAAGAAAGTATAAAATTGTAATTGGGTACACCATTGATGATATTAAGGGTATTAATCCATCTTTTTGTATTCATAAAATCATTCTTGAGAACGATCATGCTTCCTCTATATAACCTCAAAGAAGGCTTAATCCAAATATGATGGAGGTAGTGAAAAAAGAGGTTCTTAAATTGCTTGCTGCAGGAATAATCTACCCTATCTCAAATAGTAAGTGGTTTAGCCCTGTACAAGTAGTACCAAAGAAAGGGGGTATGACCGTTGTTCAGAATGACAAAGGTGAGCTAGTCGCCACTAGGACTGTTACAGGGTGGCGAATGTGTATTGACTATAGAAAATTAAATAAGGCCACCTGGAAGGATCATTTTCCCCTACCCTTTATTAATCAAATGCTTGAAAGGTTGGCTAAGCATTCCTTTTTCTGTTATTTGGATGGATATTCTGGTTTTTTCCAAATTCCTATTCATCCTTGTGATCAGGAAAAGACTACATTCACATGTCCATATGGCACCGTTGCATATCGCAGGATGCCATTTGGATTATGCAATGCTGCAGCCACTTTTCAACGTTGTATGATGGCAATTTTTTCTGGTCTTATAGAAAATTCTATGGAAGTATTTATGGACGATTTTTCTGTCTACGGAACATCTTTCGATGTATGTCTTGAATATCTGAAAAAGGTACTCCATAGATGTAAGGAAGTCAATCTAATTCTAAACTGGGAAAAATGCCATTTTATGGTACAACAGGGAATTGTCTTAGGTCATGTGGTATTGAATAAGGGTATAGAGGTTGATAAGGCTAAAATAGAGGTCATAGAGCGTTTACCCCCTCCGAATTCTGTAAAAGGAGTTTGAAGTTTCCTTGGTCATGCAGGTTTTTACTGTCGCTTTATTAAGGATCTTTCAAAAATAGCTCGACCACTAATTGAGCTTTTAGCTAAGGATGTTCCTTTTGTCTTCACTGATGCTTGTCTTGAAGCTTTTAACAGGTTGAAGGAAGCTTTGATCTCTGCTCCTGTCATGCAACCCCAGATTGGAGCTTACCATTTGAAATCATGTGTGATGCTAGTGACTATGCGGTAGGAGCCGTTTTGGGGCAACGAAAGGATAAAAAGCTTCATGCTATTTATTATGCTAGCAAAACTCTTAGCACTACTCAAATGAATTATGCCACAATTGAAAAAGAGACGCTAGCTGTAATTTATGCAATTGACAAGTTTCATTCTTATTTGGTTGGTTCAAAAGTTATTATTCATACAGATCATGCAGCCCTGAGATATTTGATGAGCAAAACCCATGCAAAACCTCGGTTGATTCGGTGGATCCTTCAATTGCAGGACTATGATATAGAGATTAAGGATACAAAAGGGACAAAGAATGTTGTCGCAGACCATCTCTCCCGCCTTCTCCTCGACCCTGAGGATGGGGACGATATCCCTTTTGATGATTCTTTCCCTGCCAAACATCTACTAGCTTTGTTGCAAACTGAATCACCTTGGTATGCTGACTTGGCTAATTTCCTTTCCACAGGTACAATGCCTCATGGCTACTCCTCTCAACAAAGGATGAAATTCCTTTATGAGGCCAGGAGATATCTCTATGATGATCCTTTCTTGTACAAGCAATGCGCAGATATGATGATTCGACGATGCATTCCAGAAAACGAGGTAAATAATATTATTTCTCATTGCCATGACTTACCATGTGGTGGACATGTAGGCCCTTTGAAGACAACTGCAAAGATCTTGCAATGCGGATTATATTGGCCAACCATGTTCAAGGATGCATATTCCTATGTCAAGGCATGTGATCGATGTCAACGAACGGGCAACATTTCCAAGAAGAATGAGATGCCACTCAACAACATACTCGAGGTCGAGTTGTTTGATGTGTGGGGGATAGACTTCATGGGTCCGTTTCCTTCTTGCAATGGTAACCGATACATCTTAGTAGCCGTTGACTATGTGTCAAAGTTGGTGGAAGCTATTGCTACTACAACCAACGATGCTCGTGTGGTAAGTAAATTTTTCAAGAAAACTATTTTTCCCCGATTTGGTATCCCACGTGTGTTGATTAGTGACAGGGGGACACATTTCTTGGGGCATCGGTTTGAAGCTATGTTGAAGAAATATGGAGTACAACATAGGCTTTGAATTGGCTACCATCCTCAAGCCAGTGGCCAAGTTGAAGTATCCAACCGAGAAATCAAGTCTATTCTAGAGAAGACGGTTGCAAAGACAAGGAAAGATTGGTCTGCAAAAATTGATGATGCACTATGGGTGTACCGAACGGACTTCAAAACTTCGATAGGTACAACCCCATATCGACTAGTCTATGGAAAAGCATGCCACTTTCCCGTTGAATTGGAACACCGAGCATTTTGGGCAATAAAGAGCTTGAATTTTGATGCTCAAGCAGCGGGTGAAAAGAGACTGCTACAGTTGAATGAGCTAGATGAGTTACGCCTCGAAGCCTATGAAAGTTCAAAACTATAGAAGGAAAAGGCAAAGAAATGGCACGATAAGGGTCTCGTGAGAAGAGAGTTCAAGGAAGGAGATCAAGTCCTTTTATTCAACTCGAGGTTGAGGCTATTTCCTGGTAAGCTTCGTCTAGATGGTCAGGTCCATTTAAGGTTAAGAAGGTGTATCCCTACGGCACCATTGAGCTAGGAAACGCAAAAGGGGAAACCTTCAAGGTTAATTGCCAAAGAGTGAAGCATTATCGAGTTGGTGACCCTATCGATGAAGGAGTGGACATCAAACTCTCCACCCCATCGCAGGAAAATTGAGCATAGAGGAGGTCAAGCTTGAGACCTTATAAACAAGCGCTAAATAGGAGGTAACCCATTCTTGATCTTTTACTTGATTTTTATTTGTAGATTTATCTATTTATGTTTTCACTTTTTTATTTTTTTCTCTTTAAAAAAAAAAAAAGTTCTGCCAAAGAGGCACGTCCGTGCCTCAAACCCAGAACCCCAGCTGCAGACTCTACCTGAGAGGCACGTCTGTGCCTCATAGGGGCACGTCCGTGCCTCAGGCCCAACTGTAATTTTGCTACAGAGGCACGTCCGTGCCTCCCTAGGGTACGTCCGTGCCTCCCTAGGGTACGTCCGTGCCCCCCTTTTTTTACGTGCCTCCCTAGGGTACGTCCGTGCCCCCCTTTTTTTATACCAGGCACGCTCGTGCCCATCACTCTACATCTTTAATCTCTCAATCTCTCATCTCCCTCCCCACGCACACCCTTTTCTCTAAACTTCAAATCCCCCATTACCCATTCTCAATTTCATCAAGATCTTCATCCTCTGATCCTTTCTATTCCACTTATACAAAATTTTTTCATCAAAAACACAATTATACCCCATACTCATAAAAAATATTCAACCCCTAGGTTTTGAAATCAATTTGGGGGTTTTTACTTGTGGTGAATTTGAAGCAATTGAGTGATTAAGGCAACTTCCTAAGGTGTTTTACGTTGCAATAGCGGGTCATTTGCGGGTATTCAACACCCACCACACCTTGGGTATAGTCTTTCTGTTTGGGGTAAAAAATACCCCAACCACGTGGTCCTATGGCTAAGCGACATGTGGAACCCAGCCATTGGTCAGCAGGGCTCCAATCCCCTGCTGACACGTGTCCCATGAACCCTAGATGGGGAACCAAGTCCCCCACTATAAATAGTGGGGGGATCCTCATTAATGGGCATTCATAAATACTTACACAAAACCCGAGAAATATTAATTGCGGAATTCTCCCATTACGCGAGAAGTAATTTCACTATTTTATGCACTATCTTCATCCTGTACGTAACTGAATTGATCGTCGGAGGCGGAGCTCCGACCAACCGGAGTCTTCGTGGTTTTGCAGGTACAGGCGGAGAAGGGCATTCTTGGAATTGTAACTCTCCCGCAGGACACATAAAAAAACCCCAAAACATTTGGCGCCGTCTGTGGGGAGAGTACTTCTGAGATGACTTCTAATCCTGTACCACTGAATCAAGACAAGCGGCCGTCGGCCGAGCTTGAGGTTCAGACGGACCATGAAAGTGGTGATGACTATGAAGTCAACACCTATGTGGCCCCAGACGGGTCCTTCAGAACAAAGCACACCCGTTCCAGGGATAAGAAGGAACGGGATAACATCCAAGCTGCTCCAGGCAACCCAGCCGGCAATCCGGTTGGAGCTGCCCAGGCGGCAGAAGGCTCTGCTCCCGTCACTAGGAACGAACTCATGACCTTCATGAATAGTTTC